CGGATACATGAAGCGGCCAAAAAGCTGAGGAAGACCTATATTTCAGCGGTTATTAATTAAACGTGCCCCAAAACAAGAAAAATCCATTTAAAAAAGCATATTAATATGGGACATTATAAAAGATACAGTTTACGGTGTAGTTTTGGAGAAAAACAAAGTGTTAAAATACATTATAACACTGAGTATTTCCTGCGTTTTTTACATGCATTATTAAAATTCCTTCAGCGTTAACATGAACATTTCAATTAATTCTTCTTCAGGATAGAATTCAGGACCTCTTCCTGTGAGAGGTGAGCACAGATATAGGGGATCTTAGCTGCAGCAGGTGTGGGGAATCAGAAAGCAAGGTGATTGTGATCTTGTGAATGTCGGTGCTGATGACTGTGATGACTGAGGTTGAGGACAGGTATGAGCCGGGGAGGATTGTGGGATATGGAGTCCAGAGATGGTGACTGGTGACAGAGGCTGTGTTCGAAATGGCATACTTGCTTACTACTTACTGCTTACTGCCCAGTACACAGTGCATACTGCCTACTATTTTTTTAAGAATAGTGTGTGAAACAATATACAATAAGGGGTGATGAACAAAGGCCTCCTGTAGCGAATCGATGCGTTTTTGTAAGAAAAATATCCATATTCAAAACGTAATAATCACTTTAATCTAGCTTGCGCCAACAGTTGTACACAGAAGCAGTTCCGGGAGCACGACGTATGAGGTCAGCTTTGCGCATGCGCCGGTGAGTCTTGTGAAAACCAACGTTTGTTTACAGGATCAAAAGAAGCAAAGTTCCCATACTTTAGCAAAGGAAAACAAGTCTCCTCTTGGCTTATATCGAAATCCTCCGACATTCTTCTTTACAAATCCTCGTTTTGTACTTCTAATTAGTGACCGTTGTTTTGTTTCAATCTCTCCACGTGCGTCACTTCATACGAGCTGACCTCATACGTCATTCCCCCGGAACTGCTTCCGTTTACAACTGTTGGCGCAAGCTAGATTCAAGTGATTATTAAGTTTTGAATATGGATATTTTTCTTACAAAAACGCATCGATTCGCTACAGAAGGCCTTAAGCCAGGATCTAACTCGGGTCGACTCACGTGTTACTCGCTGCGCCACTGATACTTCGGAAACTCATGTGTCTTTTGCAGTGCTGTTAATCACAGCCAGGCATTGGTGGGCGGAGTTAATGTAAATAGCCTCTGCCAACAAATTGGTCTATTTGTCCTTAGAGTAATACACTCCATTTCTTTTTAGAGCTGCTTGACAGTTGGATTGAATTCTGTTTGCATAATTAATGCATAATTAATGCGTCATTTGATGATCGGAAACGTGCTGTAGAGATTAAAGTACAATTTATGTCCTACTAACGATACTGTTTTTAGATACACAGCGATAGTTTGTAGTTTACATGTATATGTATATACGTACAAATACAAGTGTTACATTTATAATTACTATTCCCCACCTCCAGTTCACTCACGCATTTGAAGATGAAACGTCACATGGAGCGCATTGCGTTCTGGGTAACAGTATCCCATGCAGCGTCTTCAGATGCATACATCAAATTTCAGCCAATGTAGCAGGTAATCCGGGCATTCCATGCATACAGAAAATTCACATACTATTCACAGTATACACACAGCATACTGCAATATAGTATGGTAGTATGCCATTCCGAACAGCTTCTGTACTGATTTCAGTGTACTTGAGTTATATTTAGCAGATTCTGGCGAATATAGTAGGTCATCCGGGTATTACATGCATACAGAAAATTTGCATACTATGCACAGCATACATACTGAATACTGCAGAAATAGTAAGAGTAGTATGATAGTATGGCATTTCGAACACAGCCAGAGACTCCCTGACAATTATAGCACTGATCAATTCCTGCTTTTTTCTACAGGCATTATTAAAATTCCTTAAGCGTTAACATGAAAATTTCAATTAATTTTTCTTCAGGACACCCAAGGCTCTGTCTGTGTCAACTTTCACTGGGTTTTACTGTAGAATTTGGGAGAAAATTAAAGACAAAGTCTGTCACAATGTATTATAGCACTGATCAATTCTTGCTTTTTTGACCAGTTTTATTAAAATTCTTTAAGAGTTAACATGAACATTTTAATTAATTATTCTTCAGGACACCCAAGATTTTTTGATATTTATACAGCCATTTTTAAAATTCCTTCAGAGTTAACATGAAATTTTCAATACATTGTTCTTCAGGATGACCATGACTCTGTCCGTGTCAACGTTCACTTGGTTTTACTTTAGAGTTTTTGGAGAAAATTGAAGACAAAGTCTGTCACTCACAATACATTATATCACTGGTGTGCGTTTCCCTATAACATTGCCTCTTAGTGCACTATGAAGACTCTAAAGGTATATCTTAACTAAAGGTATACCATTTCTAGGCGTGTTCCCCGAACTATACCTTAGGAGGTTGCTTACAGGTATACCTTCTTACGTGCGACGTTACCAGGCGCTGTCCATGAGGGTGGTGCTGAATTGGTTGATATCGATGGATCGAGAATGAATTATTCAATCTATGCAGGAGCTGCTTCAGTGCGTTATGTGAGAAAGTGGTGTTCTGTGTAAAAGAAGTGTTGATTTTAAATATAGACACAAAACGCCTTCCTGTTAGAATGCAACAAACTTGTGTGAAAATTGTACGTTCGCTTTGCAACATGCATCATATCAGGGAACAAAAACAGGAAAGAAAAATATATGCCCAGAGCACCTCCCAGTGGTCACCACATAAAACACAAAGAAAAAATCTACATGAGTCACTGCTTAATAATTTAACAGCTTTTAACAAAAGAAAAAAAATCATAGGCCTACACAAGTCCAACAGAAAAACATTCTGGTAAGATTGCTTTCCAACAAGAAGCACTTCAGAAATAGTTGAAATTATCAGGAATCACGGGATCTTATAAAAATAATCCAAATTGCAAACTAATTCCAACCCTGGATATTTTATATAACTTTGACATTTTGAAACCTGCAGCCTCATGCACAAACATGATTAAACAAAGAAAATGAAATAGCAGCATATTAATTATATTGGGGTGGCACCCAGGGTGGCCGATCAGATGTCAGGGGTGTCCAGTGCCACCCTGAACACCCATCTGGCTCCACCACTGAGGTAGGACTAGGGGTGTGCGATATATATCGTCTGCGATAATATCGTAATTGTTGTTTTAACGATGTGCGATTTGACATTAGGACATTGTTAAAATTGTCAATATGACATCAGTGGTTCAACTGTAATTTTGCGAAGCTATGAGAATACTTTTTGTGAGCAAAAAAAACAAAAAAATGACTTTATTAAACAATTCTTCTCCTCCAAATCACGTCTTCTGCCATTTTGGAGAGTACCTCTGCAGGTAAACTTACCCTGCGTTCCATTCGGAAGGGCTCATCCCTATGCCCTAATCCCTTCAAAGGGTTTACCCTCCGGAATGAGAGCTTTGAAGGGTTGAAGGGTGTAGGGGACCCAACAACTGTTTCTTGAAGTGCCCTTCTGCATCATCATCCCGTGCCCATATGGAGACGCCGTCATCATGGAAAGAATCAACGCAAAGAATCATGGGGGCCGACGTGTCCATCAGTTGTTCCCTTCGAAATCCTTCATTCGAAGGGACCTTTGAAGTGGCCAATTTTGAGCAATTTGGTTTGAAACGACCCTTCAATATGGCGGTCATGATTGTTTTCACTCTGAAGCGCCGTTCGGAGGGCTATATATCCCGTTTGGAACGCACCGAATGTATGCTCATGGTACTGCTGACATAGAAAACGCATATGCAGTGCCTTGTTTATGTGCAGAGGAATGCACAGTTAAGGCTAGATGTTATACAGATTCGTCTACTGGGCATGTACACATCAATATAGTATAATTTTTGTCACACTGTACAACAGTAATTACTGTTTTTGCATCATTGTAAGGGGTAGGTTTAGGTTTGGGGTAGGTATAGATGTTAATACACCACAATCTAATAGGTAGAAAATTTAATTTACTGTTAGCTTCCGGTTTCAGCTGTATCCCTTACCCTTAATACAAACATTCTAAGGTAAAAAATTATAATGTTTTAATTTACACAGCTATTCAAACAGCGAGTAAATTATGGAGAAAGTGAGCAAAGAACATTCACATTAACAAATATTACTGATTTCAGTTCAGCTAGAGTACTAAACTCAAAATTTAAGCACTCAAAATTCCTTTTATGATCAATGAAGCTGTCCACACACTGTAAATGAATTCCGGTTTCAGCTGTATCCCTTACCCTTAATACAAACATTCTATTAAGGGTAAAAAATTATAATGTTTTAATTTACACAGCTATTCAAACAGCAAGTAAATTATGGAGAAAGTGAGCAAAGAACATTCACATTAACAAATATTACTGATTTCAGTTCAGCTAGAGTACTACACTCAAAATTTAAGCACTCAAAATTCCTTTTATGATCAATGAAGCTGTCCACACACTGTAAATGAATATCTTACTTATATAGTTCATACACGTGCACTTTGTTGCTTATGATGAGAGAATTTGCGAGTTTCAGTCAGAATTCATTCAGCACGCGCGCACTGAACAAAACTCGAGATTTCAGCAATGACTAATCTGAACGCCTCTGATTGGCCATTGTGTTCATAAACTCAACAGAATCGCGTGTGATTGGTTCTAATGTGCAACGCTGTAAAATCGCGTTAAAAGAAATATGACGCGAGCAGGTCTAAATTTAACACAGAAAACCACACTTTTCATTTAATTTTCATTTTCACTAGTTTCATGTTTCAAGTATTATAGTTTTATTGAAAAACCAGGGGACCCCCCAAGTTCATTTTTTGAGCTTATGGAGGGTCCCTTAATGCTTATGGGAGGTCCAGGACCCCACTGCTTGAAAGCACACATTAAAATTACAAATGAATAAACCAATGCCACTAAGAATAACTACTCATACAGTATTAAAAAAAGTATTGAACCTCCCCCCAAAAAAACATTCTGTATTCTGTGTCGTACTATGAGCTGCAGAACTGAAGTGCATGACCTTATTGACAGTGGAAGGAGTACTCTGTCTCCGACTGATCACCTGAAGGAAGAAGGTAATATCAAGACACAAGTTAATAGAAGGCTCTGGCCTGGGTCACTGTACAGTTGTTCACTGTAGTAAAGCAAGTCTTCACATGCATAATCGCAATAGATTTTTCATTAAAAATAGTGTATGTATATAGATACAGTCAGGTCCACATATATTTTGGACACAGGCACAATTTTATTATTTTAGCTGTTGACCAAAACATATTCAAGTTACAGTTATATAATGAATATGGGCTTAACGTGCACACTCTGAGCTTTAATTTGAGGGTTTTCTCATCACAATTGTAGTGAAGGTTAAGGAATTACAGCTCTTTAATATGTACCTCCCCCTTTTTTCAAGGGACCTTAAAGGGGTCATCGGATGCCCATTTTCCACAAGTTGATATGATTCTTTAGGGTCTCAAAGAAAACATCTCGGAGCGCTACTAGCTGAAAGGACCTCCGTTTAATAGTCCCAGAAGGTGCTCTTTGGTTGGGTTCAAAATTATATCTATAGAAACTACGGATCCCTGGTTTGAATGAGGAATTAGATTTAACTCCATATTTGTGAAATGATTATTGAAGTACGATTATTATTATTATTATCAAGATATATATATATATTTTTTTTTTGTATATGTGATTATACTTTGAAATTGAAAATGATACTATTGGTCCCCCTTGTAATGATTATTTTGGTTTCTCCCATTTCTACTGAGCAGATTATATCTACACCTGTGACTAATTTTGTACTTGACACACTCTGAGGAAGGCTGGATGGCCGAAATGCATCAGTGTGCAGTGTTCTAGTCATTTTTAATGTTTCTAGAGTGAGCCATGTTTGAATAAAGGCTTTTTAAAATTTTGGAACTGGAAGAAGTGCCTTGGATCCGTAGTTTCTATAGATATGATTCTTTAGGGTCTTAATGAAAAGTCTCAGCTCTGTTTTCAGTACGCCATTCTAGTCCGTGTTGCTTTAAATGCTAATGAGCTCTGCTCACCCCGCCCTCTCTTCTGTCGGGTGACGAGCAGACTGTTTACTTTAGCTGCGAAACTTGCTAACTAGCACACATTAGGAAAGGTGATTTGCAAAGATTCATAAAAAAAGCCTTATACTCACTTCTACTGTAGATGAAGCTGGATCATGAATGATTCGCGCGAACTTAAACGCATTTAGGCAGATCGGGGATCGCCGCATTCCTTTCAAAAGCGAAAGTAACGTTAATCCTCTGCGTCTTCAGCGGCTCAGATGTCGGGAGTAAATGACGACTGCTAAGTTCATTATTACATCCAGCAACAAAACACCTCAATCACTTAACTGGAGACATTCTTGTCTTCCCCTGCACTGGAGTCGACATTATGGTGGACAGCTCACAGCTCACTCAGGGTGGGTCTTAAGGTAAGACGGACTTGTCAATCAACTATCGTGGGAGGGGCCTGTGCAGAACTACGTCATTCTGACAGGAATCTCAGAACAGCCTGATTTGAGAAAGGGATTTTAAAATAGGGATTTTACAAAATCCACTGGGTGGATTTTTATCATTATAGGGTGGATGTGTACACACACTTCCAACACACATTTATGTTCAAACAACAACAAAAGTGAATTTTGCATCCGATGACCCCATTAAGTAATTGGACAGTTGACTCAGAAGCTATTTCATGGACAGATGTGGGCTATTCCTTAGTTATTTCTACATCAATTAAGCAGGTAAAAGATTTGGAGATGATTCTAAGTGTGCCAGTTGCGTTTGCATCATGCAGTCAAATGAGCTCTCCATGCAGGTGAAACAGACAATTGTCAGGCTTCAAAAACAAAACAAATCCACCAGAGAGATAGCAGGAACATTCGGAGTGGCCAAATCAACAGTTTGGTACATTCTGAGGAAAAAAAGAATGCACTGGTGAGCTTAGCACCATAAGAAGGCATGGACGTCCACGGAGGACAACAGTGGTGGATGATGGGAGGATCCTCTTCATGGTAAAGAAAAACCCTTTCACAACATCCAGCCAAGAGAAGAACACTTTCCAGGAGGTAGGCATGTCACTGTGAAAGTCTACAATAAAGTAGAGATTTGTAAGATCAAATACAGTGGGTTCACCACAAGGTACAAACAAGGCCAGAATTAGACTTTGCCAAAAAAAAAAACATCTAAAAAAGCCAGACCACTTCTGGAAAAGCATCCTTTGGACAGCTGAAATTAAGATCAACCTGTACCAGAATTTACGGGAAGAAAAAAGTATGCGAAGGCTTGGAACAGCTCGTGATCCAAAGCATACAACATCATCTGTGAAACATGGTGGAGCAGTGTAATGGCATGAGCATGCATGGCTTCCAGTGGCACTGGGTTACTGGTGTTTAGTGATGATGTGACAGAGGACAGAAGCAGCCGGAAGAATTCTGAAGTGTAAAGGGATATACTGTCTGCCCAGATTCAGTCAAATGCAGCAAAGTTGATTGGGCAGTGCTTCATAGTACAAATGGATGATGATCCAAAACATACAGCAAAAGCATCCCAGGAGTTTTTGAAGGTAAAAAAGTGAAATATTCTGCAATGGCCAAGTCAATCTCCTGATGTCAACCCAATCGAGCATGTATTTCACTTGCTGAAGACAAAACTAAAGACAGAAAGACCCACAAACAAACAACAACTGAAGTCAGCTGCAGTAAAGGCCTGGCAAAGCATCACTAAGGAGGAAAACCAGTCTCTGGTGATGTCCATGAGTTCTAGACTTAAGGCAGTCATTGCCTGCAAAGGATTCTCAACAAAATAATAAAAACGAACATTTTATTGATTATATTTATTTGTCCAATTACTTTTGAGCCCCTGAAAACGAGGGGACGGTGTATAAGCAGCCATTGCCTGCAAAGGATTCTCAACAAAATATATTTAACATTTTATTTATGATTATATTTGTTTGTCCAATTACATTTGTGTATAAAAATGGTTGTAATTCCTAAGCATTTTATATTTTTGTTCAACCCCTTGAATTAAAGCTTAAAGTCTGCACTTCAATAAAAATCTTGATTGTTTAATTTTAATTCTATTCTGGTGGCATACAGAGCCAAACTTAAGAAAATTGTGTCAGTGCCCAAATATATATGGCGCCGACTGTATATATATATATATATATATATATATTACTAGAAAATGCAATACCTCTATCATGAAAATAGTCGTGACATTTGTTAGTGGTTACTATGACCTTTAATTAGACAATAGCAAGTAATAAGATTAATTAAATGAGCACGCCAATTGATGGCAAAATAATAAAGCATGGCTTTGTGTCAACAACACACAAAAAAAAAGATAAAATATTAAAAACAAAGAGTTTGTGAATTACACATTTTGTTATTTATCTAATTAAAATTGCATTAAACTGCAAACCATCACCTTTACATTTTTCTGGATGTTAAAATAAAATCTTACTTGTTTGGTAGTAATCATACACTTTGACCACTGCTGGCTTGAGATTCTTCACTGGAAGAACCTGTTTCATTTTCATCTTGTAATTCATAGAAATGTGTTTTGGAATCTGCAGGGGGATAAACAAAAATACATATACAGTAACAGTCATGTAAATGATTGAATACATGTTAATTATATAAATGTTATTATGTATTCACCTCTGTTAAATAAACTATGACATGGTCTTCTTTTGTGTCAACCCGCTCCACATACTTCTGAGCAAGTACTGCTGAACTAAATGACGTTCTAAGCTATAGGGAAAATATAATTATTAATATGAAAATATGATGATGATGACTAGGTGTTTTTTTTTTCCAGTTTTTGCAAAGTAAAGCAAACATGCAAGAAAAACGTAGTAAAGATGTGTAAAAAAAATTGGTGTCTTCTTAATGCACAATAACTTTATACACCCAAACTCACCGATGATGTATCAGCTGTGAATCCTGATAAAAGTTTAATATCCACAATGAGCATGTTAGTTGTCTCCTGAGGACCATGATATCTTAAAAAGATAAATGTACTGCCCTGATTTAATGCTAACAACACAAAGAAACAGGAGCACAACTTATGCACTTAAACTAGCAGATCAATTTTTTTCTTAGCAATTACAGAATTTTACAACTGAGACTACTGAGAAATAACTTTTCAGATTGTCAGTAATTTTAGGCATTCACTAAAGAGGTATCTATATATCATAAAATAAACAGTAGCCATAATAATAATCTAAATCTGTTTTACTTGACAGTGAAGTTCAAAATGAAATTTTGTTCCAATGTTTTGCAATCTCCCTCAAACTTAGCATCAATGCTCAACGTTTTAGCTTCAGTAGGAGTGGGAATGTTGTAGAACTGAGCCACCTGATAGAGTCAACACAAACAAAAAAAACATTTACAATCCATCTCACAGCAAAATAACCACAAAATGCTAAGAAAGGAAAGAGAGAGATTGAGTGTGTCAATGAAGCTGAACGCACTACAGACCTGCACAGACACACAGGCTGAGCCCTTCGCTTCAATGCTGTATTTCGCTGGAACGTTCTGCAGCTGCTTCTCCTGGTACAGTAACTTGTTGTCCTGATTGACATCAAAGTGGTGAGTGTCTCCTGCTGACTGTACAGTCACTGTGCTGGAGCCGTCAGAGCTGAACACTTTGGTGGCGTACAGACACCAGTAACTCAACGAGCATTACCAAAAAAAAAAAAAAAGTATAGTCATATAGGAAAACAGAAAGTCATCAGAAACAAATATCTTACCGTCTGAAATAGCAACATCCTCCAGTTTCTTGAAAAGCTGCTGTCGAGTGTCCGTGTCTCTAGCCAGACTGAAAGTGTAGGCAAGCAGAGCAGTGGTGTAAGTGTTTTTGACATCCTCAATGATGGACTTCAAGCAGGACAAACCTTTAGTGACGACAGGATCCTGAGACAAAGACAGAGAAACAGCCGCTGTGAGTCTAATTTTTCTATGAGTTTATACTGTTTCCTGTAGATGAACTTACTGTGACTGGAGTTTCCAGTTCAAGCAGTGATGCAGTAATGTAGGCAGTCATGGTCACATTATCATTCACCCCACCCTGAAATTTATATTAGAGGAACATTAAGTAAAATATTTTAGTTATAGATAGATTGTTTCTGCATTGTTTCTGTGATAATGTTTAGTGACAAATAACACACCTTCATTCTGTTGTTAAACAATCTTCCTTGTTGGATGAAACAGCCGTCTGAATCCCGTCTGCTTATTAACCATTTCTTTGCACTCTGAATAATTTGTGGATCAATAAATATATATGTCTGTGCTTTGCCAAAAGACCTCAGGACAAAGGCAGTCAACCTGGTGTTTTAAAGTTTTAATTTGAATAATATCATTAGTTGTTTTAGTTGATTAAATCTGTACATAAATTATTGAAACTAAATACCATATTACTGCTTACTATTTTAACTTTGTAACTATTTAGGAAAAAGTGAGAATAAAAAGTTACAAATATTTACCATGAATTCTCATCACCGTGTCCAAACGTGCTGTATGCACCACTGTTATGCCTGTAGTTCAGTTGTCTCTGGTATCCTGTTGAGTTTGACAGTGATTAAATGTTTGGGTTGATTAAGTGTGTTTGACGTCAAAAGTGTCATGACTTATTTTCTTGACATGATTGATTTCTCTCACCGCTCTTAAGGAAGCCGGTGGCTCTCTCTCGGATGGCTGAGGTGAGTTGCTCTGTGTTTTCCAGATACTGCAGAATGTAAATATTGGGAGAAAGAATAGCCATGTTTTGTTCTCCACAGCCGTATGGCATCCGTAATAATCCGTGAAGATTGCTCAGTGCACGACCCAATATGTCTCCTACAAACCAAAAACCAATGAAACACTACATTTTAGAAACCCAAACAAAAACTTCTCATTTCTGCTTATACTGTATGTTACCAATGACTGAAACAGTGGATCTGGCTGATCCCTCTATCACATCCTTAGGAAGAGTCAGATTCACTTCTTCTGAGAGAGTGTCGCCTATGAACCAGAGAGACAGAAACACACATCAGTGATCAGCAGAGAAACACTATGATGCTAAATATTGTCTGCAGACAAACCCTTTGGACACAGTAACCAGCTGTAGGTCTCTGTCTTCTCAGTTCCTTCAGCCTGCAGAATAAAACAGTAACATCAACACATCATACTGACATAAGCAGCATTAGGATCATGGAGAAATGACATCTGAGAGCCATTTGACGTGCGCTGACCTGTACAAGCAGACTTCGTGTGACTGTGTCAATGCGTCCTCTCTCTGGCACGCTCACAATCTCATTGTCACACACAGTCTGGGACGCCTCTGCCTCTGCACTGACTGTAATATTCAAGACTCCTACAACACAAGACATGTATGTGAAGATACAATAGACACAAACACTGAGAAACAATGATTCAGACTGGAAAACTCACCGAGAACAGAAGGAGTGAGGATCCATTTAAAGGTTTTTCTTCCATTAGCACACAGACAGGATGAATACTGATCATCAGAGGAGGCTTTGAGAGTGTAGTCTGAGGAAGGAGCTGGAGTCACTTTAACCTGTCAGTCAAACACACATGATTAGTGCCATATTTGATATCACTGTATAAGACTGAGTCTGAAGTCTCACCATGATGCACTTGGACAGATAGTTGAAGGCAGTGGCCTTCAGCTCAAAGATCTCCCCACGGATGATGGAGTAAGGCAGAGAGAGCTCCAGGAAGAAGGGCTGGAAAACTGTCAGCTGAGCAGGAGGAGCCAGACCCAGACCTTTGGAGGACAGCCAGAAGGCCTCCGTCTCCCAAGAGGTGATGGTGTCAGGAACCGTGACAGGAACCTGAGCTGATCCAGAGTCCCTGTTGTGCAGCATAGTATAGTAAAATGCAGTGTTAACCTCCAGGGACTTGACATTGAGATGGTAGACGTGTACCAGTAACTGGGTGTTCACAAACACAATAAATTGGATTGGTCAGATAACATGAGTGTTTTGTACAGGAAGGGCCAAAGTCGCCTCCATCTGTTGAAGAGATTGAGGTACTTTGAGGGTGTGTAGGGCACTACTAAAAACATTTTATGATACTGTAGTTGCATCAGCATCTTTCTATGCTGTGGTCTGCTGGAGTGGTAAAATCAGAGAGAAAGTCACTGTGTTGAAATTACAACAGTATTCGATTGGACTATTAAGATGCTGTTTTGCTTTTACAACATTCAGCACAGATATAAAACACTGATTATCTGATTCATAGTAGGTCTCTGGTATGTCTAATTTTCATCAATCTGAATGAATCCAATGAAAGTTCTGTTTATATGAATCCTAAACAGTCCAATTCACATATTCGTTTACATGTGAATTTATGTATTCTTAACAAAAACTCATTGCATGTGCAGTGCCAAGAGAAGCATTACATTTTCATATGATGTTCAATGATGTTGACAGTTAACAATATTGTCACTAACCCAACTGCAGCAAGTTGCCAAATCCATGTTTCAGGAAAGACAGTACGAACTGTCACTTCAACTGAAGAATCTCCATAATCCAAATCCAATGCTACGCCACTGTCATATGATAGTGCATACTCTGCTAAAATAATGCACAATTAAAGATGTGACACCTGAATCAGGACATGTAGGAATTTTGTACAAAAATACTGTACAAAATAAAAATTTTGTATCTCTATCACATTAGATACTTTCTGAAATATCTAAACTATATTCTGTGTTCACAAAATTAAAACTACCTACAATATATTATTTTATAATGACAAAATTTCAACAATGTTGATATTTTCCCTTTTATTGTTTATACTGTAACTATTTTTCCATTTTTTGTAATATGCTAATAAATTTAAATCAGCTTTTTTAAATCATGGGGCCTATTAATAATTTATACATAAAAAAGTTGAATTGAACAAAAAACATAATTGAGCTTTGTACATCTAACATATCAAATAGTGTGAAGAAACAGATACACTGTCAGCATAATACAAAGTATAATAATAAGTATAATAAGAATATAAAAGCCAGTAAACCAAGCTTAAACATGTTGTCTTCATAATTTTACACTTTTCTCACAGAATAAATGGGCCTTTACATTTTGGGAGGTGCAGCTCTTTCAAGCAGTTCCTTGATGTCACAAATGTTGAAAACTGCTGATTTTACAGATCAGACAACTGTCACCATAATCACAAAACAAATAAAGAGTCATCTGTGCTCTTGCAGTGAAAAAGTGCTTAATAATGGTGAATTCCAGTCATATTAAATCATTGATAGCAAATGTATGTCTGAATGAACTCATACCAGATATTACCTACAACTTCATATCTGTGATAAGTCAAGCCCTTGTATGACAGACACTTAGGGACTCGCACAGCCAAATTTGTTGCCATTTTCAGCCCCACACTCTGTCCAACAGCAATGATGAACCACATGTAACAGAAATAAAATATTTTTTTTGTAACGGTCAGAATAAGAGGAATTTTAAGCACATGCATTGATATATTTATGCATGTAGACACTCAGCTAATCTACTGCATTGTTACACATATTAATCCACTTGTTACCTTTAAGGATTCATAGGCATTGTCTGTCATTAAAGCTCGACGGGGTCTCACATGCAGACACTCCTGCTCATCTTCAACACTGTAAGGATAATTTGACACTGATTGCACTGGCAGCATATTGAAGATCTGTGATGAGAGCACATTCACAATAAATAACCATTATCTCTAGTGTCTGCTAACTGTTGTACACGCGTTCACGAGAGTGGAATTCCAGAATATGCTAGTCTCACTGCTAGTCTAGTTTTGTTTATAGCAAAAAAAAAACAGTCTCCTCTTGGCTTATATTGAAATCCTCCATACTTCTAATTTGTGACCGGTGTTTTGTTTTGCTCTCTCCTCTGCGCTTCCACGTTCCACGTTTACCTACATCCTACGTCATCTGCTGGACACCACTCTCTCGTGAACGCATGTACGACAGCGGAAGCTAGAGATTACGGTTTAAAAAGTTGTAAATATGGATATTTTTCTTATACAAATGCATCGATTCACTTCAGAAGGCCTTTATTAACCCCCCGGAGCCATGTGGAGTACTTTTTATGATGAAATGGACGCACTTTATTTTGCTTCAAAATCTCAACCCTCACTCACTGTCATTATAAAGCTTGAAAGAGCCATATTATATATTTTTTCATTTTTGGGTGAACTATCCTTTTAACACCCATGTCACCTTAAACAATAATGATGAACATAGTAGACACCAGAATCTTAAAGCCTTTACACCTTGTCAGTATCCAGACGTTCTCCTGGCTTCAGAATCAGGACGCTCTGATCTACAGCACTGAGGCCGCACAGTGAACCAGGCTGAGCTGAGAGCTGGAGAGTGTTTTTCTCACCAGGAACTGCTTTAGCAGGAGAAAACTGCAGAGACAGTAAGATATATACATATATATATATATTTTTTTTTATTTTTTTTTTTTTACATTTTCATGAAGTGCTGAAATGGATTTTATTGCAAAACATCAAAGTTAATGTGTTGATGTAGTTGCCCCTTTTTAAAATGAGAAAAAGTGACAGACGATTTATATAGAAATTAAAACGAATAGAAACACTACGTTACTTACGGCCCTGACGTTTGTCCATTGACACAGACAAGAAGGAGAGAGAACAGAAGGAGCCGTTTCCAACAGCAGCTAATGTTCAGATCCATGATGACGAGTGATCATCCAGGTCCTGACATGAACTGAGCCGTCTCTTATAAAGGGAGTCTCATGCTAAATGTGGTCTTTCAAAAACATTTGTATTGATTATTTGATTAATGATTCAACCATGTAGGCAATACCATTTGAAAACCTGTGCAATATTAGCACTACTAAAGCCTAAAAAATACATCTGTGAACAATGGTTTGAGTTTAGGATGTTAGGGGGTTCATTCTGACTCCGCTGAATCAAAGTATCAGCTGTGAATCCAGATAAGAGTTTAATATCCACAACGACCATGTTAATCCTTTCATATCTGGAAAAGAGCAAATAGAAAGGAAAAGTTTCCTAAATGCCTCATAAAGTAACAAAATAAGTAGAAATAAATGAGAAAAAAAAGCCAGGACAATTCACAAAACACATGCAGTTTATGGGGGGGTCACTCTGGAGGTCCCTCAGGACAGACACGGGACAGTGGGCCTCCAGAGTTCAAAATTCAATTTTGTCCCAGTGATCTTTGCAATCTCCCTCAATCTTAGCATCAGTGCTCAATGTTTTAGCTTCAGTAGGAGTGGGATTGATGTAGAACTGAGCGACCTGAGATAGTCAACATGAACAAAAAAAATTATTAATCATATCATAGCAGAACACCCATAAAATGCTAAGAGAGGAAAGAGGAAAAGTGAGTCAATAAAGCTGAACGCACTACAGACCTGCACAGACACACAGGCTGAGCCCTTCACTTCAATGCTGTATTTGGCTGGAACGTTCTGCAGCTGCTTCTCCTGGTACAGTAACTTGTTGTCCTGATTGACATCAAAGTGGTGAGTGTCTCCTGCTGACTGTACAGTCACTGTGCTGGAGCCATCAGAGCTGAACACTTTGCTGAAAACACCAGCTTAAACCAGCTCATGACCAGCTTAAAACAGCTCAAACCAGCAGCCATGCTTCAAAACATACCTAACCAGCATATGCTGGTTTTTTTTCAACGGACATATCAGTGATCAGCAGAGAAACACTGTGATGCTAAATATTGTCTGCAGACAAACCCTTTGGACACAGTAACCAGCTGTAGGTCTCTGTCTTCTCAGTTCCTTCAGCCTGCAGAATAAAACAGTAACATCAACACATCATACTGACATAAGCAGCATTAGGATCATGGAGAAATTATGTCTGAGAGCCGTTTGATGTGCGCTGACCTGTACAAGCAGACTTCGTGTGACTGTGTCAATGCGTCCTCTCTCTGGCACGCTCACAATCTCATTGTCACACACAGTCTGGGACGCCTCTGCCTCTGCACTGACTGTAATATTCAAGACTCCTACAACACAAGACATGTACGTGAATATACAACAGACAGAAAAAACTGAGAAACAGTGATTCAGACTGGAAAATTTATAAAACCTGTAAAGGTTTTTCTTCCATTAGCACACAGACAGGATGAATACTGATCATCAGAGGAGGCTTTGAGAGTGTAGTCTGAGGAAGGAGCTGGAGTCACTTTAACCTGTCAGTCAAACACACATGATTAGTGGCATATTTGATATGATTGGATAAGACTAAGTCTGAAATCTTACCATGATGCACTTGGACAGATAGTTGAAGACAGTGGCCTTCAGCTCAAAGATCTCCCCACGGATGATGGAGTAAGGCAGAGAGAGCTCCAGGAAGAAGGGCTGGAAAACTATCAGCTGAGCAGGAGGAGCCAGACCCAGACCTTTGGAGGACAGACAGAAGGCCTCCATCTCCCAAGAGGTGATAGTGTCAGGAACCTGAGCTGACATGTCCCTACCAATATTCAGCAGCTACCAAATTATCCCTAGCAATAATTTTGATCAAACAATTAAATAGCTGTATCCCTTCTAGCCTTAACTGAATAACAACGTGCAGTAAACAGTAAAACTGTTTGCACTACAAACCAGTGTGTTCATAATTGATAATACATTAAAATAATATGGTAAGACACAGCAGTTTTCAATATCAAGCAACGAAATGACTGTTTTGTACAGCTAAAAATAGCTGGATGCGGATGAGAGCAGAAGCTAGACCCATAAAATTTACAAATGTCCGCGCCCGCTCTTACGGGAAGAAAAAGGTGTATATTCACAGATTTGAATTCCCGGATCAGTAACTCGTGAGCTAAACAAATAACACTTCTTTTCAATCGTAGTAACGTATACAATGAGCTACAACCGAATTTTCCTTGAAACTCCGCACTGGACAAAACACATTGATCTCTATGCGCAGGCGGCGGAGAGAAGTCCAAAGGGACCCGATGCAAAGTGCAAAACCCGAAAATCATTACTACAAAAATAGTCAACAACTTCAATGTTACAAACTGTAGTGTCACTAAATTCAATTTACATATCAATGGTCTCTGGTTATCCTACTTCACTTATTTTGAACAAATGTGCTTTTGCAAAATGTTCATATTTTAAAAAAAAAAAAAAAAAAAATCAGTAACTTTACTGTTATTAAAAAATATTCAATAACTTCACTATTATTCAGTGTAATGCCATCAAATTAAGTGCACACATAAATGCTCTACTGCTGGTTATACTACAACACTTAGTTTGACAAAAATTGCTTTTGCATAATTTTTTTATGATATTCTTTTATGAAAAAATATTTAATAATTTTACTGGTATTAAAACATATTCAATAAATTTACTGTATCACACTGTACTATCACCAAATTCAGTGTACACATCAGTGCTCTCCTGCTGGTTTTATTACAACACTTAGTTTGCAAATAAATTGCTTTTGCATAGCTTCACTATAACACGCTTTACTGTCACCAAATTCAGTTCATACATCAGTGCTCTCCTGCTGGTTATACTGTAACACTTAGCTTGAAAAAAAATGCACTTGCATAATTTTTTATGATTTTTATTGTGAAGAATTCAATAACATCACTGTTATTAGAAGGGGGAAAAATCAATAGTTTCACTGTTATGCAGTGTAATGCCGTCAAATCCAGTTCACTGTTCTCCTTGGTTATACTACAATACTTAGTTGCGTTTGCATCATTTTTATGATTTTTTCAACTTTACTGAACTTCGAAACTTAAGCATTCCGTTAAAGAGGGGCTGGCACCAGTAACTGTGGAATTCGAAGTAGTCTATGGGTGCTTCTTATTTCTTATTTGTGCATCCTTGTTTCCTTTCTTTGCTTCCTCTCCTCGCGTCTTAGCGTAGGAGAGGAGAGGTGCAGCCCCCCCTTTTCCCTGGCTGCACCTTAAAGCTGAAAGATGCCACCTTCGGAGGATGCATTACAAGGTAGGAAAGCAACAAGGCATGTCTGAATCCAATGTCAGCTTCACTTCCTGTCTCCTTCACCTGATCGATTTTTGAAGGCAACATAGATTTATAGAGCAGCTTTTTCCTGGGATGCTCTGAAAACGTTACAGTTTATTGTACAATATTTTGGTGGTTTCATTATTTTTACAACATTAAAATGATTTATTTTCTATGATAAGATCAAACATGTTCTGTTAGAAGACAAGAACAAATTACAAACAAAATTGTGAGTGCCACTGAGTACACATTTGAAAATGCACATGAAATAAACCAATGGCACTGAAAATAACTGCTCATACAGTATTATGAGCTGCAGAATTGAAGGGCATGACCTCATTGACAGTGGAAGGAGTACTCTGTCTCAGACTGATCACCTGAAGGAAGAAGGTAACATCAACACACAAATTAATAGAAGAATAGAAATGGTAACACTTTATAATAACTTTCATTAATAAATCATTTACAAACATTATGTAATGCTTAATGAATCATTAGTTAATATATATTCTCATATCTAAAAACATGAAATAATGTGCTTGTTAATGTTTACTAATAAATGTATTAAACATTACCTAATAATTAACATTTCATGTAGATTAAAATGCTTACAAATGTCATTAAGCTTCTAATTCATATGATCATCTTGAAAATCTACAAATGATTTGATCAGTTCTTATACAATGATTAAAAGCTTTTTTTTATGCACAACACTTGCTGCTGTTGAGGTGTGATACGGGTAGAGTTAGGGACAGGTTTGGTGGTACGGGTAGGTTTAAGGTTGGGTAAGTGGTCAGCAGTGTACAGGGGTCAATTTGATTATTATAAGGGAACACGATTCAATCTGTTTATATTGCATTGTTTTGATAAATGAAAAATTAAGTATTTTCATGAAAATTGGTTTTCCCCCCTCCTGTTGATGTATGACTCAAGGAATATTCTGTTTAATGATTCACAATAGTATACTAATGTAAGTGTTGAGGCAATAAAAACATGCTTTGCACCCAAATCACAATGTGTCTTTACCAAGCATTTAGCTTAACTTAACTAACAACCCTTTACACAAAAGTTGTTACAGTAGCTAAAAGTCCAGTGCCAATAAGGATGCTAAAAAAAATTAGTAAATGTTTATAAACATTTACAAATGATGAATAATCTCAACTTTTGATTGGGTACTGCAAAAACATGAATACATGTTTTGTGAAGATGTGAAAATAGGGTCAATTCCAGTCATTTGGGACACTTTTTGCCATCGAAATGACTGCTCATAAAGGTACTAATGATCAGTAAAGGTTTATAAACATTTACAATTGATGAATAGTTTCCACTATAGCTTGGGTACTGCAAAAACATTAACAAATTAATAAATTATTTAAGATGTGCAAATAGTAGAAGTCTACACAACAAACAAAGACCAAATATATCACCTTTACAGACTGTGATTATGAGTTAATGAATATATTAACATGAATAGTTTGTGAAGTGCTTAAAATTAATAATCACGCTATATTTTCACAACATTTGTAAATGTAAAAATGAGCATTAGCTAATATGTGAACTGAAGTTTAATGACACTTTAAACTTAATGACAATAAGCATTCAACAGTACATTAACAAATAAACGTGTAATCATTGTGTAATTCCTGTTAAAATCATTTGTATATTTTTAAAACGCATTGAAAGTTTAATGACATTTGTGAACATTAACTAATGATCAGTTAAGCACTATATAATGTTTGTTAATGATTTATTAATGAAGCTTTTAATCATTGTAAACCATCTATCAAAATCATTTGAAGATTTAAAAAAAAAAATGCATGATCATATGAATTGAAAGTATAATGACATTTGTAAGCATTTCAATTTACAATAAATAATGATCTGTTAATCATTTGGTAATGCTTAATAAGTTCATTAGTTAACATTAACAAGCACATTATAAATGTAAATATATATATTAAGTAATGATTAGTTAAACATTATATAATGTTTGTTAATGAAAGTTATTATAAAGTGTTACCGAACAAGTTTATACCTCACTATAGTAAAGCAAGTCTTCACACACACACACACACACACACACACATACATGCAATGCAAGTAATATGATTAATAAATGAGCACGCCAGCTGATGGTAAATTAATTCAGCATGGCTTTGTGTCAACAACACAAAAGACAAGATACAATATTAAAAGTAAAGAGTTTATGAATTACATGCTTTGTTATTTATTTATTTAATCAAAATGGCATTAAACGCTATCTACCTTTACATTTTTCTGAATGTTAAAATAAAATCTTACTTGTTTGGTAGTAATCATACACTTTAACCACTGCTGGCTTGAGATTCTTCACTGGAAGAACTTGTTTCATTTGCATCTTGTAATTAATAGAAATATGTTTTGGAATCTGCAGGAGGATAAACAAAAATACATATACAGTAACAGTCATGGAAATTATTAAATACATGTTAATTTTATAAATGTTATTATTTATTTACCTCTGTTAAATAAACTATGACATGGTCTTCTTTTGTGTCAACCCGCTCCACATACTTCTGAGCATACATTACTCCTGAACCAAAGAGTGTTCTAAGCTATAGGGAAAATATAATTATTTATATGAAAATATGATGATGATGATGATGATGTGTTTTTTTTTTTTTTTCAGTTTTTTGCAAAGTAAACAGTAGTAAAAATGTGTAAAAATTGGTATGTCTTAAAGTGCCGCTATTATGGATTTTTGAGAATTACCTTTCATGCAGTGTGTAACACAGCTATAAGTGAATGAAAACATCCTGCAAAGTTTTAAATCTGAAAGTGCACCGTGTATAAAGTTATTGTCTCTCAAAAGAAAGAGTAGACTCTGAATCATTGAAATTAGTAGTTTTTAAAATGAATCCCAAGTCATTTCATGTTGATGTCAACATGAAACATTAGCATACTGCCCGCCCTCTTGTTGGTTTTTCGTTGGTTCCATTCGGTCTGAATGAAAATGCAAATTCATTCTTTGCCACTAGGTGCCGCTTTTGGAGCAGTAAAAATAGCGGTTTCCCCTGCAACGGCTGTACACAAAGCAGCACTGCACTCACAAACGCTGCTTTTTCAGGCATTACAGTTATGATTTAAATGAAAATGAGACCAATCGGAATCACCGCGCAGATTAGCGTCATGCAAAGGAGGGGTTTGGAAAAACGAATCATTGAGCGAATCGTTTGGGAGTCATTGAGCAAGTAAGGTAAAAATAAATGCATATTATAAGACAATGAAAGTGTTTTTTGACCTTGCATGCATGTCAACCTGTTGCTGGGGACTCCCAAAACCAAAATATAAACCTTTCATTACCCATAATAGGGGCACTTTAATACACAATTACTTTATACACCCAAACGCACCATTGATGTATCAGCTGTGAATCCTGATAAGATTTTAATATCCACAATGAGCATGTTAGTTGTTTCTTGGGGACCACCATACCTTAAAAAGAGAAAATGAACAGGCCTGATTTAATGCTAAAAACACAAACAAACAGGAACACAACGTATGCATTTAAACCAGCAGATGCATCCAATTTTTTTCTAAGTAATTACAGCATGTTACAACTGATACTACTGAGAAATAACTTTTCAGATTGTCAACGTATATATTTAAACCAGCAGATGCATCCAATTTTTTTCTAAGTAATTACAGCATGTTACAACTGATACTACTGAGAAATAACTTTTCAGATTGTCAACGTATATATTTAAACCAGCAGATGCATCCAATTTTTTTCTAAGTAATTACAGCATTTTACAACTGAGACTACTGAGAAATAACTTTTCAGATTGTCAGTAATTTTAGGCATTCACTAAAGAGGTGTTTATACACCTTAAAACAAAACAGTAGTCATAATAATAATCTAAATCTGTTTTTACTTGACAGTAAAGTTCAAAATGAAATTTTGTTCCAATGTTTTGCAATCTCCCTCAAACTTAGCATCAATGCTCAACGTTTTAGCTTCAGTAGGAGTGGGAATGTTGTAGAACTGAGCCACCTGATAGAGTCAACACAAACAAAAAAAACATTTACAATCCATCTCACAGCAAAATAACCACAAAATGCTAAGAAAGGAAAGAGAGAGATTGTGTGTGAGTCAATGAAGCTGAATGCACTACAGACCTGCACAGACACACAGGCTGAGCCTTTCGCTTCAATGCTGTATTTGGCTGGAACGTTCTGCAGCTGCTTCTCCTGGTACAGTAACTTGTTGTCCTGATTGACATCAAAGTGGTGAGTGTCTCCTGCTGACTGTACAGTCACTGTGCTGGAGCCATCAGAGCTGAACACTTTGGTGGCGTACAAAGACAGAGCCTGAAGAGCCACCACTGTGTCCTGATAAATTAATGTGTTCAGTAATGTGATTTTTACCCATTATTCAGCAATCATGTGTTTGATTTGAGTAGTTTGAGTCACCTGTGTGGAGGAGAATCCTCCATAGGCATTCTGCTGCTTCACAAGCCAGCTGACAATCCTGTTAGCAAAGCCCAGATCAGCTGAAGTGAGTGAATCTGCAGTGAGAGCAGCTAGCAGCACATATGAGCTGATCTCCACTGCCAGAGAATCAGAGTCATCAGCAGATGCAGACTGAGACCAGTGGAGATGAGACCCTTTAGGACACATGGACAAAAGAGACACCAGTAGCTCAACGAGTATGAAAAGACAACAGAAATTAATCAGAAAGAAATCTCTTACCCTCTGAAATAGCAACATCCTCCAGTTTCTTGAAAAGCTGCTGTCGAGTGTCCGTGTCTTTAGCCAGACTGAAAGTGTAGGCGAGCAGAGCAGTGGTGTAAGTGTTTTTGACATCCTTAATGACAGACTTCAAGCATGATAAACCTTTAGTGACGACAGGATCCTGAGAAACAGAGAAACAGCCGCTGTGAGCATTATTTTTCTATGAGATTATACTGTGTTTCCTTACTTTACTTTACCAGATTAACTTACTGTGACTGGAGTTTCCAGTTCAAGCAGTGATGCAGTAATGTAGGCAGTCATGGTCACATTATCATTCACTCCACCCTGGAATATATAGTATATAGAGGAACATATATAATATATAACATATATATATAATATATAATATATAGAGGAACAAAGAAAATATTTTTGTGATAGAAGGGAATTGTTTCTGTGATAATGTTTAGTGATAACACACCTTCATTCTGTTGTTGAACAGTCTTCCCTGTTGGATAAAACAGCCGTCTGAATCCCGTCTGCGTATTAACCATTCCTTTGCACTCTGAATAATTTGTGGATCAATAAATATGTATTTCTGTGCTTTGCCAAAAGACCTCAGGACAAAGGCAGTCAACCTGGTGTTTGAAAGTTTTCATTTAAATAATGTCATTAGTTGTTTCAGTTGATTAAATTAGGCCTGTCAAACAATTAATTGTGATTAATAACATCCAAAATAAAAGTCTGTGTTTACGTGTATGTACTGTGTATATTTATTATGCATGCATGTATATATTTAAAGCTGCAGTCTGTAACTTTTTGCGAGAAATAAAGAGAACCGAATGCATCTTGCGGAAGAACATTGTAGCCGGAGCTACTTTCTTTCTGTTTATGTCTAGAATAAGTCACGCAGATACTGGGCTATTCTGCAGGAGTTACTACCAGAACCAGTCTAAAATAGTCTGAATATAAAAACGTATTATAGGTGTACTGTATTGATTCAGGATAAGCCAGAAACACGGTTTGGAAAATGGATTCATGATCATTTATTATATACATTTTGTAAATTTTGAGCACAAAATAAGTTACGGACTGCAGCTGTTACATGTTCCTTGTGTGTGTTTTGCCCCTGTCTTCTGTGTGCCTTGTTTGTTTCCATAGCTACCCTCATTAGTTGGCATAGACACTCAATGGACCACCACACCCACTCCTTGTTAGTTTCCATAGTAATTCATTAGTTCCTTGTGTCCTCCTTTGTATAAATAGCCCTTGTGTTTCACTTGTGCTTTGTCAGTTGTTGAATGTTATTGGTGTCATTTCTACCCGTACTTTGGTTCTTTGTTCCCAGTGTTTCCTGTTTCTTGTTCCCTTTGTCGTCTTATTAAACTACCTGCACCTAGATCCACGCCTCAGCCTGTTTCCTCCAGCTACCCCACATAACAGAACAACCAACCATAACCATGGATCTAGCAGGTATGAAACTTATTCTCTTGCGCCAGGGCGAGCGTTCCCTCGTGGACCACACCCGTGAATTTTTGGACTTGGCGTATCACACAGATTTTCTGGACAATTCTTCGATTTCCTTTTATTACTATGGACTTAATAAATATCATAAATCACAACTTACCCTATTGATGGTCCTCGAGTGAGTTTTCGTGATTTTGTGGAGCGGGCTTTGCAGCTGAGTGGTTCCCCCTTCACCATGGGTGAGGTGGAGGAGGATTTCACCATCACCGCTCAGCCATCTGTTAAACATTTTTTGGGGGGAGCTATGCTCCTCAAGCTCTGGCTAACGCAGCACTCTCAAGCCCGCTGCTCGCTACGCACTCTAGCTCACCGGCCTCAGCACTCTCAAGCCCGCTGGCCGCTACACACTCTAGCTCACCAGCCTCAGCACTCTCAAGCCCGCCGGCCGATACGCACTCTAGCTCGCCAGCCTCAGCGCTTTCTAGTTCGCCGCCCGCAACGTCATCTGTCTCGGAAGTAGACGTTTTGTTCTCTGTTCTCCCTCTGATGGCTACAGCCATTTTGTGTGTTTAGGCTGTGCACACCTCGCCTGTTTCTTCCAAGACAGTGACGGCATCCTCCTCCAAACTCTTTGTGTTCCCTGTTGCCTCTGTTACGGCCGTGGACGCTGTTTCTGAACTCTCTGTGTTCCCAGATGCCACTGTTATGGCCATGAATGCTACTACTGAACACTTTGCATCCCCTAACGACTTGGTTGTTACCACAGAGGCCATTTCTGAACTCCTTGTGTTCCCTGATGGCTCTGTTTTGGCTACCGAGGCTGGATTTAAACTAGAGGTCTTCTCGGGTCCTAAAATCTGTACCCGACCCGAATCGACCCGAATCACTTCTTGCCCGAACCCGACGTGCATAAATAATTTTTTCAAAAAGAAAAACCCAACCCGAGACAGACCCGATGAAATTAGACCCGAGTCCGACCCGACTGCATTTATTTTCGAACCCGACTGGACCCGAACGTAAACGGCATTGATGTGTGCACAGCCTGCACCCATGCAGCCAGTCAGGAAAATCCCGGTGTCCTGCTGACTGATTTGGCCGCTTCTCCATTACTTTAATTTATTTAACATGTATTTAATTTGGTTATTACTTTATATTATTGCCTGCCTGATGGATACAAGTTATTTCTGAGTTCGGCTTTCAGTTGTGACCAGTGGATTTGAAAAATAAACGTGATAGTTTGATAAAAATTTAATCGATAGTTTTTCATAGCTAATCTAAAGCATAACTCATGATCATAGCATAACTCATGGCTTCGCAAGTGTTGTCTGCAACCTAATCTCCGGCGAAAGGCTTCTGCACACAAAAAAAGAAAAGCCCTGCATGAAGCGAGTGAATTTTCCTGATGGTTCTCATATCTATAAGATGGATTTCTTTTGGCGAGGTTACAAACGTATGCTCCTTTTCTATGTGCATTCCTCACTTAACGCGAACGTGCAAGTACACATTCAGGATAGTTTAAAAGAATTCAGGTCTTATCGGGTCCATTTGAAAAAAAAAGCACGTTTATTTTAAATTACCCGAGACCCGAGGCCGCTAATACCGAACCCGACCCGTGTCCGAGGCACCCGTAAAAATTTTGGACCCGAACCCGCTCGAGTCTCGGGTCGGACCTTGGGTTTTTGGATCCAAGTGGACCCATGAAGACCTCTAGTTTAAACACTCAATGTCCACTAACTGTGGTGGCTGCCTTGATGTGGCCAAGGAGGCCGCATTTGAACCCTCTGACTGTCCTGTTATGGCCAAGGAGGCCGCTGTTAACTTCTCTGTGATCTTTGTTTCAGTTCTGCCTGATCCACCTTGGTGGTCACCTGCCTCATTGGCTCCACGTTGGTGGTTATTTGCTCTGCTGTGGTGGTCATCTGCTCCACCGTGGGGATCTTTGCTCCCATCTGCTTTGCTGAGGTGGTCATCTGCTCCACCGTGGTGATCTTTGCTCCTGTCTGCTCTGCTGTGGTGGTTATCTGCTCCGCCCTGGTGCTGTTCGGCTCCACCTGCTCTGCCTGCTCCACCCTGGCCTCCCGCACTGCCTGCTCTGCCCTGGTCACTTTCTCCACCTCAGTCTCCAGGACCTCTTCCACCCCATGAGCCTGGCCCACCTTCCCTCCACCTGTTCCGCCTCCGCTCCACCACTCTCCTGGACTTTTGTTGCATATGTTCTGTCTTTTGTTTTTGGAGCGTCTGGAATCCGCTCCTTAGGTGGGGGGCTATGTCACCTGTTCCTTGTGTGTGTTTTGCCCCTGTCTGCTGTGTGCCTTGTTTGTTTCCATAGCTACCTTCATTAGTTGCCATAGACACTCATTGGACCACACCCACTCCTTGTTTGTTTCCATAGTAACTCATTGGTTCCTTGTGTTCTACTGTGTATAAATAGCCCTTGTGTTTCACTTGTGCTTTGTCAGTTGTTGAATGTTATTGGTGTCGTTTCTACCCGTGCTTTGGTTCTTTGTTCCCAGTGTTTCCTGTTTCTTGTTCACTTTGTCGTCTTATTAAACTACCTGCACCTAGATCCACACCTCAGCCTGTTTCCTCCAGCTACCCCACATAACAGCAGCTTTAAGAAAATTATGCTATATTTATGTATAAAATATTTATATATTATTTAAAAAAATATATGTATTCATGTATGTGTGTATTTATATATATATACATAATAAATATACACAGTACACACACATATATTATGTAAACAGACTTTTATTTTGGATAATAAAAGTCGGTGATTACTTGCGATTAATCATTTGACAGTCTATACATAAATCGTTGAAACTAAATACCATCTATGTAAAGTAAAAATAAAATTTTTATCTTTGTAACTATGTAGGAAAAAAGTGAGAGTGAAAAGTTACAAATATTTACCATGTATTCTCATCTCCGTGTCCAAATGTGCTGTATGCACCACTAATATGTCTGTAGTTCATCTGTCTCTGGTATCCTGTTGAGTTTAAACATTCTGGGTTGATCAAGTGTTTCTGAAGTCAAATGTGTTGTGACTTAATTTCTCAGTATTTCAGTATTCTCTTGACATGATTGATTTCTCTCACCGCTCTTAAGGAAGCCGGTGGCTCTCTCTCGGATGGCTGAGGTGAGCTGCTCTGTGTTTTCCAGATACTGCAGAATGTAAATATTGGGAGAAAGAATAGCCATGTTTTGTTCTCCACAGCCGTATGGCATCCGTAATAATCCGTGAAGATTGCTCAGTGCACGACCCAATATGTCTCCTACAAACCAAACACCAATGAAACACTACATTTTAGAAACCCAAACAAAAACTTCTCATTTCTGCTTATACTGTATGTTACCAATGACTGAAACAGTGGATCTGGCTGATCCCTCTATCACATCCTTAGGAAGAGTCAGATTCACTTCTTCTGAGAGAGTGTCGCCTATGAACCAGAGAGACAGAAACACACATCAGTGATCAGCAGAGAAACACTATGATGCTAAATATTGTCTGCAGACAAACCCTTTGGACACAGTAACCAGTTGTAGGTCTCTGTCTTCTCAGTTCCTTCAGCCTGTAGAATAAAACAGTAACATCAACACATCATACTGACATAAGCAGCATTAGGATCATGGAGAAATTATGTCTGAGAGCCGTTTGATGTGCGCTGACCTGTACAAGCAGACTTCGTGTGACTGTGTCAATGCGTCCTCTCTCTGGCACGCTCACAATCTCATTGTCACACACAGTCTGGGACGCCTCTGCCTCTGCACTGACTGTAATATTCAAGACTCCTACAACACAAGACATGTATGTGAAGATACAATAGACACAAACACTGAGAAACAATGATTCAGACTGGAAAACTCACCGAGAACAGAAGGAGTGAGGATCCATTTAAAGGTTTTTCTTCCATTAGCACACAGACAGGATGAATACTGATCATCAGAGGAGGCTTTGAGAGTGTAGTCTGAGGAAGGAGCTGGAGTCACTTTAACCTGTCAGTCAAACACACATGATTAGTGGCATATTTGATATGATTGGATAAGACTGAGTCTGAAGTCTCACCATGATGCACTTGGACAGATAGTTGAAGACAGTGGCCTTCAGCTCAAAGATCTCCCCACGGATGATGGAGTAAGGCAGAGAGAGCTCCAGGAAGAAGGGCTGGAAAACTGTCAGCTGAGCAGGAGGAGCCAGACCCAGACCTTTGGAGGACAGACAGAAGGCCTCCGTGTCCCAAGAGGTGATGGTGTCAGGAACTGTGACAGGAACCTGAGCTGATCCAGAGTC